TCATCATGGGCCTCCAAATTTCGTTTTCATCTTCTTCTCCTCCTGCTCCTTATAGCCTCTAAAAATACATTTTTTAATAATCCTAAAATAAAACCTTAATAAAATAACCTTAAAAAGTGACATAAAAAACTCCAAAATAATTTCCCCAAATATTTATCTAATCAGCTCTGCCAGTGGGGCTTTAATTATTTTTGGGGGTGTGTTGATGAAGAAATATCGCGCCGGGGGTCTAATTCCAGTTGCGGCTGAAAAATGCATTAAATAGCCTTAGAATCCACGTTCAAAAGAGAGACCAGACATGTGGCGGCACTTGGCTGGCTGGAGCAAGGGAATGCTTAGGTGACGTGGCTCGCTGGGTGGGGGTGGGGAGATCCGGATTTTTAATTGCTTTTTACCCAATTTTTCTCCTTTTTAATCACAATTAAATCCAATTAGACACAAAATGAGAATTATTACAGATTTTAGAGGGGAAACAAATGAAATCAACAAAACTACAATAAAATAAAAACAAAATTAAATTAAATGAAACTAAACTAAAAATCACATAAAAATGAATAAAAATCTCGAGAACAAAGCCAATTTAAAAGTAAATAGAAAAAAAAAAACTCAATTTTTATAGAGTTATCAAGCCCCTAAAAAAAATATTTCTAACTCCGTCACCGCCCTACCTATCTATTAATTGGGTGGGTTTAGGTTGAATTTTCCTAACCCAACTTAGCCCAATAACTCACCCAATTTAGGCAATATGCGATCGTTTTTAAAGTTGAATTGACTTTTCTCATGGGTGCTAAAATTATTACAAAATATATCACAGTGACATCATTTAAATTTTATGTATTGAGCAAAATTATACTTGTACTTTTGTGTATTTCCTTCAGTATCATTGGATTAGAATTTTGTGGTTTTTCATTTATATATTTGTAATTTTTATAGATTTTGTAATTTTTAAGTATTTTTTATTATGACATTCTCTGTAATTATTTATGTCTCCTGGTATATGTCAATCTAAGCCTGAAATTAGTGTTGTTCCTGTAAAATATTCTAGCTCATCATATAATATATTTATCATATCTTTTATATTAATTACCTAGAAACCTATTATATTAATATTGTATGAGTTATTATTATTATTTTTTTGTTGGCTTATAACTCATGTATTTGAATTTGTTTTGCATATATATTATTTTCACGTTGGGTTATAACTTATAAAATAACTTTAGAATTTTGTAAAACTAAATGAAAGTTATCATTCTTTTCATGTATTTCTTTTTTTGCAATAGTTAACTTTATTTATTTATTTTTAATAATGTTCAATCCGCTTAATTCACTTAATCCACTCAAAATTTAATTATGGGTTGATTTTAAATTTTAAGTTGACCACGTGAGTTAAATTTAAAACCAACTCACCTAAATTTAATTGGGTTGATTAAAAAATCTCAAAAATTCACCCTACCAACCTTGAAAATGTAGCTAAAGTTGTGGCTGCAGATTGACTCTTATTATTAATTTATTATTGGATTTTCGATGATTCCCTTGTTCTTTTCAATTATGTTTATTTCTCGATTGTGGCTCTGTACAAATTACCGTTAGGTGTAATCAGCGCGTAGTGTATATATAATACACAGATTAATATTAAAGCATAAAATATGGTTGAAAAACTGATTATAATTTGCATGGTTGTCATGTTCAGAGTACACTGAAAAAGAAAAAAATAAAAATTTTGAATCAGAAAGGACGATGACCGATTTGGTTTACATTACAAAAAGTATGATTATATATATACATACATACATATACATATATATATATATATATATATCTTATCTGTTCATAACAGCCTCCACTAGCAAGAAATTGGAAAGTTCCAAGAATTCATATATTGAAATAGGCTGGTCGCTAGAATCTTTTTATTTTTAATATGCAAGTTAAGCTTGCACCAAATACTGAGCTAGTACTAACAGCAGTTCAAGTATTTTTCCGTTTGGCCCTGGATAAGCGCCAATTTATCCATGTTTTTCAAGTTCCATTGTTCAATATCAGGAAAGAAGTTACAATATTATTATGTTATAATGTTTATTATGGAAGCAATAAAAGATGATGGAATTGGCAAAATTGATTATATATACATTATTTCAGACAACTTTGAATGTGTGTTGATAATTAGAATGATGTGGTGAGTCTCTAACACAGAGCTTAATTAAAATATTTTATATTTTATCAATTTATATAAGAAAATCAATTCGTATATTTTAATTAAGCTTTTGAGGTGTCAGGCAAATGATAATTGGCTTTTGTTGGTGCCGACATATTCGGGATGTACGAAAGTCATTGTGATATCAACCCGCCTCGTTTTATTTACTAAAAATTCAAATCTTTTGAATTTTTAATTCCACTTCATTTATTGCTGGTCAAAATGGTACTAAAGTGATTTATTTAAAATAATGGTTATATAAATAGTTAAAAAATAAAAAAATAAAAATAAAAGTAAAAAAAATGATCTAAAAGATAGAGGAGAAAAGACAAAAAAAAAAAAAAAAACCTTAAGTAAAAAAATTTATTTGAAATGATTGAGAAGTTTTAATTTATGAGAATCATAAATAAAATAAATTTATGTAGAGACGTATTTAAAAAAAAAAATCAACTGATAATTAAAATAATAATATTTTAAATAATCTTAAAAAAGTAATTAAAGAAAATATATAAAAAATTAAAGGTTAAGAATAAGAAGAAAAAAAAAAACTAGAAAAATGCTTACGCAACGAAACTCCTCGAGAAACGGATTCTATTTTCAAGGAGAGAGAAATCAGAAAGGGAAAGTAGACTAGAGTATTCAACGTACGATATAATCAAATCAAACTATCCTTACACTCAATGATAGAATCTGTCGTTGGTACAATAAGCTTTCTTGACTGATGTGGTAGTTGCGATGAGAAATTTTCTTTGGTGAAGGAATAGTTAAGATAGAAAGCATGGATTAATAAACTTCAAATTTTCTTTGGAAAATAGTCTGCAACTTACGACTACTAATTCGTTGGTTTGTAAATTATTAAAGGATAAATATATCTTTAAGATGTTTTATTCAACCAAGAACTAGATTTTTGACTTCAAATTTTCTTTGCAAAATAGCCTGCAGCTTTTGACTACTAATTTGTTGGTTTGTAAATTTTTAAGGGATAAATATATCTTTTAAGAAGTTTTATGAGTTGATTAGTTGGGAGATTTATACCCCGATTCAAATCATGATTCATAGTTCGCTACAGTAAAAAATACACGTAAATAAAAAATGATTCTAATCTTATGATTCTAATCCATGAATCAAACGTCTCTTTAGTTAACCAAGAACTAGATTTCGCCTCTCCTCTATTTAGATTAGTATTATATGGTGTTGTGGCCACGGCACCTTGCATGCACTTAATCATTTTCAAAATTTTTAAGGGTTTTCTATTAAGAGTTATCTCTATCAAGACAAGGTTACGTTTTTACTCAAATTCATAAAAAATAATGCAAAAATAATAGCACCTACTACAAATCTAACACGTAACTAAAGAGTTTCTTTGTTAGTATCACACACGCCGTAGATTAATCTCAAATTTTTAATGGTGCAAAATTTCAAAAAGAAAAGATAATTAATTGTACAATTAAAAATAATTAATGGTGCAAAAGTGAATATTAATCATATATTAAAGCGTCAAAATTTAATTTAATGGGAGGAATAAAATATGCTCTAATGATAGGGCAAAAATATCATTCAATAATTATAATAATAACAACTTATCTTCAAACTGACATGGTAAATCATGTACAATTTTGTATTAAAAAAAATACTTATCTAGCAAAAATGATTCGTAGTGATATGGTGAAACACGCATTGTTTATTGGTAAACACAATAGCTTAAAAAAGAAACAATTTTCAAGAGTTTTAGTAAATATCACTTGTACAATTACCAATAAATAAATTGTAAAGAAAAATCAAATAAAACTAAACGGTTTAGCGGACAGTTTAGCAAAATGATTTAACAGACGAAATCAAAGATCAATGGAGCAAAAAAAAAAAAAAACAAAAAAACAAAATTTTCAAGCGTGATCGAGATCAAGTTCGTACTTTACTAAATTTTTAAAAGTTTGTGCCTTTATTCTTCTATCTTATGACCTGTAAATATAAGCGTGATCGAGATCAAGTTCGTACTTTACTAAATTTTCACATAAATCACTATTATTACTATATTAGCATTCTTATGTTTAGGAACTTATGGTTTTAACCTTGGGATTAGTACTATAGTAGTAAGATATGTGAATAAATCATGCAATATAAACTGCCCCTATTCATAGATCAGACTGATTAAGAACTAAACCAACAACAAAATAACAGTTCCTATTAGTACGATAAATAACAGTTTCTATCCTGAGGATGTTTTGCTTTAAAATTGGCAATAATATTCCTCTCATTAGCATTCTCTTGTACCAAACGCTCTCCAGACTTCAATGTGGAGGAAGAGACGGAGAAATGAGAGAGGTGAGGGAGAGAAATATGCTCAAATTTCTTGTTTGATTAGAGAGGAGAGAGAGGAGAAATGGAAGGACAAGTTGACATAAACTATTATGTTCATCAAATTTAAATTCAAATAGATCACTCTAACCCCAACAAAATATTACTAAATAGATAAATAAATAATAAACCAAACAACTTGAAGTATGTTACGTTGTTCTTCATCCTTATCCTGATCCATCCCTTTGACCAAACAAAGCAGTACTATATACGGAACTGCTCATCTAGCAATTATCCAATTGTATAAAATTGATGATCGAAACTTTTAGATAGTGGCGGAATGCTCTTTTTTCTTATATTAAACAGCATGTTTGATTCAGATATTACATAATAAGCGTTTACAATTATAAAACTGAAATATAAAGAAAGACAAGATAAGACCCTTACTCTTTCAAAAGAAAAAAAAAAAAAAAGAAAAAAAAAAAAAACACTCTTTTATGTTTGTCACTTATTCTTTTTAAAAAAAATCATAGTGCGGTACAATTTATAATAATGTTTTTAGAGACCGGCAGTACTAAGTATCACACACTAATAACAGCATGGAATACATTAGTATGATTCATCTTTTATTAATTGTGATTTTTAGCCTTGGTAGAATCCCGATAATAATTTCACAATCTATGCAACAATGGGGACGCTCTGCAACACCACTGTCTCCACTGTGAGTCCCGGCCCGAACCCAAGAAGAACTCCCCACTCCAATCCATCACCAGTGGTGCTCTTTTTCTCCTCCAACGACCTCTTCCTCATCTGATTCAGGATAAAAAACACAGTTGCACTTGACATATTTCCATACTCGCTCCACACATTCCATGTGTCCTTAAGCTTCTCCTTCTTTAGCTCAGCTTTCTCTTCAATCGCCCTCAAAATGGCAGCCCCGCCGGGATGTGGCACCCAAAATAGTGAGTTCCAATCACTAATTCCAAATGGGGTAAATGCTTCTTCCAAACATGTCAGAATGTTTTTGCCAATTAGCTTCGGCACTTCCGGAGACAATACAATTGTGAGTCCGCAATCACGTAAATGTCCCCCTACTGTGTTTTCTGAGTTAGGAAGAATAACTTGTGAATTTGAAACAAGCCGAAACAATGGTCTTTCGACGGAGCCCTCATCGGGTACGTTGGCACCGACGATTACAGCCGACCCACCATCAGCGAAGATTGCTTGGCCGACAAGAGAAGCACTGTCTTCCTCCGAGGGACCGCGGAAAGTGGGGATGGTGAGTTCAGAACAAACAACGAGAACACGTGCTCCAGGGTTGTTCTCGGCCAAGTCCTTTGCAATGCGAAGGACGGTGCCGCCGGCGAAGCAACCTTGGTGGTAGAGCATGACTCTCTTGACGGATGTATTGAGGCCAAGCGACCTGATCAACTGATAATCGGCGCCAGGCATGTCCACTCCAGAAGTGGAATTGACGATGATGTGGGTAATTTTTGATTTCGGTTGGCCCCACTCTTTGAGGGCCTCTATTGCTGCGCTTTCACCAAGCTTTGGCATCTCCACAATTTTTAGATCCATACGTTCATTAATTGATGGACCATCGTAGGTACAGATACTTGGGTTTGCTTTGAGGATATCTTCCGTCAACCTCATGTGCCGTTTCTTTATCAATGATTTCTCACCTGCAAGCAATGATAGGTGTCACTAAAATATCGTGTGAAAACATAAACAGTAAGGAAAAATTCATGGCAAAAACACACATTACTGACTTAAAGAAAATTAATTAGAAATTAGTGTGCAAGGAAGGTAGAATTAAATCATTTATCTCCTGTATATCTTTACTGAACTATATACAGTAATGTCGAAAAGGGAACTAATCAAGTACTAGAAGTTATAAATTACATATGTTTAAAAACATATTCCCAATAAATCCATATACGGCGTGCACGATGTGAGGGAAAAATTAAATGAAAATAAAAAAAAAAGATTATAACTCATGACACTAAAGAGAAGTTTTACGACCCACCAACTTTAGCAACTGTAATTATTAGATTTAAATCGAATGGTGCCTATGAACCACATATTGTGAGCGTGTAAAAAGATTCTATCACACCCCATGTTATATGGCCTCATGGTTTCTAGAGCAACATCAAACTACTTAGGTTATTCCTTAAATTTAAAAAGCAAAACAATGAAAAGATAGACTTGAAATATTTATGATAAAGATTTGGTTTCTTATGGATTTGCTTACAAATACGCTTGAACTTCTCTTTTAATTCCGTCATGTGCTCAGAATTAGTGACTCTGAAGTAATAATCAGCATATTCAGCTTGATTGAAGTAGTTGCTAGGATTGGATGTGCCAATTGCTAGAATTGAGGCTACAGCAGGGCCAGCTCGTGGGATCACTGTCTGGCTTTCCTCTACGAACCCGTTAGTCGGCGCCATTGCTTGCTGCTTTAAGGGATCGAACACCGAGTTTAAAGGTTGAGAAGAAGAGAAGAATAGATGAGGATATGATGGATTTGCACTTGTTTCTCCTGGCTTTTTATAGGCGCAAGGGTACTGTTATAAACCTCGATACAGATCTGAAATGATGCAATAATTAATCGAATTATTATGGTTTTTAATTATTCGGTCACGTGTAGAAAAATTGGTCCACATCCTATGGTTTCTACGGTTATAAGTCAAAGATTCCGTCATATAGGAGCGAATACTGTAATGTTAATTGTAGGTGAGAGGAAGTTACATACTTTTTTGTCTTTTCCAAAATTACTATTGAATGAAAACCCGAATTTGGATAGAGTCGGCAAGTGCTATTATTTTTATTATTATTATTTTTTTTGTGTTGACTGGAAAGAATAGAAATAATAAGAATTTCTCTATGTGTTTTATTAATTTATAAAAAACTCGAATTATTAATTTATGTGTAATTCTATTTTGAAGAAAATAGTTGTTGACACTGAAAATTTGTTATGAAATTGTTGACAATGTGAATTTAGTTGGGTAACTTAAATACGCAGTAATTTGGTTGTGAAATTTTGTAAAATTGATCGGATAATATTTATTGGGTGAACTATATTTGGTTTGGGAAATTGATTGTTTTAGTTTAGAATGATATTTGTGTTGGTTTTCTAAGTTCTGTTTGTGAAACTGGGTATGAAATGTTTCTTTGACAATATGTTGCCTGTCAGATTTGTTAAATTGATTGTGTTATTTATGATAAATTGGCTATTAATTAGTACAGGTGTATTGATGTTGATTATATTTGAATGAGATTTGTGTTGAATTGATTATATTTTATACCCAATGGTTTAGAATAGTCATCATTTAGTTGTGCCGATAAAGCAAAGTTATTGATGGCAAAATAGATGATGAAAATTGCCATGATAATCTATCTTTTACCAAAGTTACCACTTGTTAAGGAGGTTGAGGTTACTTGGCAAATAACAATTCTAATTTGGTTGGTTTAGTTGTTAAATGGACATGCGTTGATAAACTTAATAAATGAAAGTGAAACAGATTTTGATCATGCACCTTATAAAACAATTAAAAACATGTATATTGATTTGACTTTGTCCAATATTTATTAATTTACCTCGTTCTTATCCATTTGGAATTATTCCTACATTAAATTTATCAATACATAGTTCATGTTCTTCATTAATGTTAATGTGAGTTTGATTTCATGGTTAGAGCGGTGATCCGGTAAACCAATTGAACAGGAAAACATATATTCAAGCTGATAGATATCATATATGTATGATATTTTAATTTCTTTCCTCGGCCAACAAAATTACCAAAGTAGAAGTCAAAGTTGTTTGACAACGAAAGAGATAAAACTTTCAATCATACATCTCTATCTCTACCTACTTGCTAATTTGGAAGGTGTGCAATATTGAATGATTCTTATTGGTATATTTTTTTTAAATATAAATATGTTTATAAGATATTGAAATTCATAATTTCTATTGTTATTATTATAAAATAATGTCTAGTATCTACAGGATTAATTCTGTTAAGTTTTTACAATAAAACAGTACTGGATAGGTCACCCGTGGGAAAACTAAAAGCCAACATTTTTTTTAAGTGGCCACATTTTACAACGATTTTTTTGAGAGGCTCATTGGCATGGTCCTAAGATTTTTTGACGACAGTTTTAAATTGTTGTCGTATATTGAGCGAAATAAGTATTGTATTATGTGTAATAGTGATTTATGTCTCGTTCGTTTCACTCGTTTGAGTTAAAAAGTGAATTTATGTGAAAGAAAATATTGTAGCAAAAAAAAAAATTGTATTTTAATTTTTATAAGAAAAAACACTATAACAAAAACTTGAATTATGATTTAAAAAGATGAAACAAACGAGACCTTAGTATTTAGTTTGTGGGATAACTAGATCTCCTTTTTATGTTTTCTATGTCAGAGAGGATTTAGTACTATGTAGTGATCTTGGTGTATTAATTAATGATATACTATAGAAGTTGTTTTTTTTTCCCTATATTCACGTGTTGGGTTCTACATTTCAGCTCATGGAATCGCCAAATATATATGAAGGGAAATCCTTCTCATAATCAGCTCCCTGATCAAATCACCACCAGATTGATCATTCCCCCTTCTTTTTTATTTTATTTTAAATTTATTTATCTGCGTATGGGCTTTAAATTGCTCACATGATGAATAAGAATTAGACAAGTCCAAAATAATTATAGCTTGATCATAATGATGCATACCATTGTTTAATCTATAAGGAAATGGTGGAGAGACACGATTTCAAATTTTTTTTTTATTTACTTGTTGTTCGGATGCGACACTTTTGCTGTTATATTCCTGAAATTCATAGTTCACAGCACCCCTCTTAAGTACATCATTCTCTTTGACAAGCTCATCGACCCGCTCCCGCAAATACTTTTTCATTTTAACCACCAGAACCCATTTGTTGAACATAGTTTCATGAGCTTTTTGGATTGTCTCCTCAGTCAGTTTTTCACCATCTCTGGAACCGTCAAAATTTGAAAAATCTCCGTATTCTTCTGATTTTTCAGGATATGTTGTAGATTGTGCGGTAACACAGTTTGAGACAGTCTGCAGCACTGCTATTTAGAACATCTTGATAGGGCATTGAATGCAACATAGTTGTTTACATGATCATCATCTTCCTGGCCGCCCTTGAAATCCTCATCACTCCATGTGACATTGATTGATTTCTTCTTCTCCTTCTTCTTAAGAGTGTTAATACACTCGGACTGAATGTGGCCGTAACCGTCGCATTGTCAGCAATGGATACCTCTAATTTTTGTCTTCGCTTCTGAGTTTCTTGCTACAGCTTTGTTCTTCTGGAAGTTGTTAGCATTGCCGAAGTTTGGTGTTATTCCCTTCCTATTCATATTGTTCATAACCTTGTTGAAATTCTTCGACAATCATGCAATAACATTGTTGAAATTCTTTGACAATCGTGCAATGGACTTGGTCAAGTCTTCTTCGTCATCAGAATCTACTTCTTCAACTTCAGCTTGAAAAGCAATTCCATTCCCCTTTTTCCCTTTCTCCTTCTTATTTTGATCTAGGACCATTTCATACGTCTACAGGGAGCCCATCAACTCGTCAAGCCTCATAGAGTTAACATCCTTTGCCTCTTCAATGGCGGTGACTTTGTAGGCAAACCTTGAGGACAACGATCTCAACGCCTTCCGGACTAGTTTTGCCTCGGGAATTTTTTCACCAAGAGCAAACGATTCATTAGCTATGTCACAGAGTTGAGAATTGAAATTTGTAATCATTTCAGTTTTAAGCATTCTGAGATTTTTAAACTTGTTAGCCAAAATCTACAACTTGGACAATCTGGCCGCTGCAGTGCCCTCATGAGCGGTCTCCAAAATCTACAATTTTTTTTTAAAATATTAATATGTTTATAAGATATTGAAATTCATAATTTCTATTGTTATTATTATAAAATAATGTCTAGTATCTACAGGATTAATTCTGTTAAGTTTTTACAATAAAACAGTACTGGATAGGTCACCCGTGGGAAAACTAAAAGCCAACATTTTTTTTAAGTGGCCACATTTTACAACGATTTTTTTGAGAGGCTCATTGGCATGGTCCTAAGATTTTTTTACGACAGTTTTAAATTGTTGTCGTATATTGAAGACATGTAGCGATTCTGGTCTTGACGACAGTAAGAAACTGTCACGAAATCATCTTTGGTGTAAATTAATCTTATGTTCACTCTTATTTTTACGGATAATGTTTATATAACCTACATTTTATAAATGGTGTTAAAAACGTTTGAAAGTTTATAAAATTTAGGGAATAGTCTTGAATTAATGATCATTTGTAAAACATTGATGAAAAGTGCGGGACATACTTGAAACTAAACAAAAGGGCGGAAAGCAATAAAAAGAGAAGATAACAAAGGGTGGAAAGCAATAGTGAAATTCTTTTTATTGAAATTTTTCGTCTGCTTTGAAGGATTTTTCAGAAGGAAAAAAAATAAAAATAAAAAGACTTGAAGTTACTAGCCGCCAAGGACGGCTTTTCAATGTATTTGGACAATATTAATATCCCCAACAACTACAACTAGGCATAAATCAAGGCCACTCAGTCAACAGCATACGGAAAAAAAAAAAAAAAAGGAAATCAAATATGGCGGCAAGCTGAAAAAAATATCACAAATTGCAAATTGATTACTCGTGTCGTTTTTTTAATAATGTATTGTTGTTTTTGTATTTCCTTACTTTATAGTTGATGACGTGTTATTGTCGTTACTTGAAAACTCATCTGTATATTCCGAGTGCTCTTTTATATATTCCAAAGTGCCTTCGTGAACCGTGCTTGCTAGCCCATTTTGTTGCATGGCTAATGCAATATGACTAATCAATTGTGGCGGCAAAATTAAAATAACATCACAAATTAAAATAATATATCTCTGAACAAGCCTAACGGGCCACACCTACCCCGTGGTTGCCAGATTGATATCGTTGTTCTTGTTTTCTGGTTAATATTTTGTTTTTCAAGCCCTTTTTCTTTTAATATTTTATATGTCGGATCTTATGGTCGTTGCCGTTTCAAATTTTTTAGCTAGCTTTGGAGGGTTTTGTTAGTTTTAGATTATTTATATATATTTTTTCAATAGTTTTAGATTATTGGTGTTAATTCATGTTGTTGTTTTTTGACCAAGTAATTGTTTTTGTCGCAATTTGTCAGTTTCAAGCAACCCCGACCTCATATTTGTTTGTTCTCTTGTAAAGTTGATTTTATACTTTCTTTTTATTTTTGGTTTTTCCAACCTCGTAATTTTGTGATCGTGACTTTAAAATTTATTAGTATATTATACGTGCACGTTGCTCCTACCTTGTTTTTCTAAGTTAATACAGCTAATTTAGTCTTTTTTTTATACACGTGTTGAACACCTTCTTTTCCTCTTTTTTCGTCATTAATCTCCACCTAGTTCTTTTTTTTTTCCCCCCATTAATAATCTTTTACCTTTTTTTAGTATTTTTTTTCCTTGTAATTTTAATATGAGTTTCATAAA